GTAAAGATCCCTTCATGTGGCCTTGGGAAGGTCTCCTAACATCTGCAAACCTCAGCTATGTCCTCTGCAAAATGCAGAAACACTCAATAAATGTTGGCAGCAATGATGATTATTTTGCATAATTATAGTAATTATTCACAGAGCTGTTTTACATTCATTGCTCATTAATTTAACAAGTATTCATCAAGGGTCTACCAAACGCCAGGCACTGAGCGCTGGGGACACAGTGATGAGCAAAGGCCAGGTTAGGGGGCTCACCGGGCTTACAGAGTTAAGAGGTGGTTCACGATCAAATAAACCCACAACTGTACCAAGGGCCCCGCCAATCGGTGCGGGGGCAGGGGTTGCTGACACCACTCTGAGGCCAAGGCCTGAGACAGGCACTTAATCAGAGCAAACCCTTAGAGTGGGCGGGCAGGAACGATCTGCACTTCACAGATGAGTGCTTCCGCGGTCACACGGCCCGGCCGCAGCTGCCGCTGGGTGACCAGAGCGGTCTTCTCTCCGAGCAGGAAAGGAGGACATGCTGAGCCAACGGGACTACGAGTCGGCCACGTTACAGGAGGTGCGGGCGCTGCTGCGGCGCCACGAGGCCTTCGAGAGCGACCTGGCGGCCCATCAGGACCGCGTGGAGCACATTGCTGCGCTTGCCCAGGAGCTCAAGTAGGCGTGGTCCGCTGCTGGAACCGCCCCTGGCGACATCGCTGTCCAACCGTGTCTTTCCCCAACCCCACTTGCTCCGCCTTCCTGCCGTAGCCCCGCCCCTACCTCCAGACCCCTCTCTGTTGTCCCAGTTCTTCCTCACCCACTCCACTTGGCCTGCCCCCAGCAGCCCTTTCCTCCTGTGACTCCGCCCCTTCCCACATAACCCCGCCCCCGGAAGCTCCAGGCCCCGCCCTCCGTCCACGCTGTCCCGGCTCTCTCGAGTCCCCACCGCCAGCCCCGATGCAGGTTCCAGCCCCGGGAGGGTGTCTGGGTCGGGGTCTGGGCCTACATTCGTCCCTGTCCCTCCCCCCAGTGAGCTGGACTACCACGAGGCGGCCTCCGTGAACAGCCGCTGCCAGGCCATCTGCGACCAGTGGGACAACCTGGGCACGCTGACCCAGAAGAGACGGGACGCACTCGAGGTGGGGCTGGGGACTCAGGAGTTGGGGGTGGGAGGCGAGAGGCCGCGGGCTGCGCAGGCCACTGAGCCGCCCTCCCTGCGGCCCCTAGCGGATGGAGAAGCTCTTGGAGACCATTGACCAGCTGCAGCTGGAGTTCGCGAGGCGAGCAGCGCCTTTTAACAACTGGCTGGACGGCGCAGTGGAGGACCTACAGGACGTGTGGCTGGTGCACTCAGTGGACGAGACCCAGGTGGGCGCTGGCCAGACCCACCCCTTGCCAGCTTAGGCTGCCAGTGTCAGGAGCCTGGTTGGGAAGATGCAAGGCCAGTCACTCCTTTGGGGTTCCTGGGGAGTTGGGACCAGAGGAAAACCCTAGTTCCGGATTCCTTGGACCTGCTGTCCTCTGTTGCCTGTGGGAGGTGGGGGACTGGGGCTGATGCTGTCTGCCTGTCCCCCTAGAGCCTGGTAACAGCACACGAGCAGTTCAAGGCAACTTTGCCCGAGGCTGACCGTGAGCGGGGCGCCATCCTGGGCATCCAGGGTGAAATCCAGAAGATCTGCCAAACGTACGGACTGCGGCCCATCACCAGCAACCCTTACATCAGTCTTAGCCCGCAGGATATCAACAGCAAGTGGGACACGGTCAGTGCCACCTGTGGCTTTCCCCTGACTGCCCGCCCTTGCCATCCTAACCACCTGACACCTCAGGTGTCCCACAATATGCAGAACAGAGGCCACCTTCAGATCTGGGGTCAGCCATCGACTCCACGTGGCCTGGGGTAAGCACCTTGCCTGTTTTGTTGGCCTCACCCTAAAATGGCCACAGCAGCATTTTCCTGTCAAGACTGATGTGTGTAGACACCTGATATAAAACTACCTGTGTTCGTTTACAAATCATGCTGGTAGCAGAGTGCCTAAGGCATCTGACTGCTAACCAAAAGGTTGGTGGTTCAAACCCACCAGCCATTGCATGGAAGAAAGACTGGGCAGTCTACAGAATTCTGTAAAGATTTACCACCTTGGAAACCCAATGGGGGTTGCAATGAGTTGAAACTGACTCAACGGCAGTGGGCTTGTTTTTCATCAGTTCCACTTTCCAGGTGAAGATTAAGGCCTAGAGAGGTTGAGTGGCTTGCCCCTAATCACAGCCCAGACCAGTTGGCTCAAGGGCAGCAGAGGCTGGGGTTTGAGGGGCTGGTCCCCAGAACTGCCTGTGGCACATCCATCTTCTTCCCAGGTCCGCAAGCTGGTGCCCAGTCGTGACCAGACGCTGCAAGAGGAGCTGGCACGGCAGCAGGTGAACGAGAGGCTCCGGCGACAGTTTGCAGCCCAGGCCAACGCCATTGGGCCCTGGATCCAGGCGAAGGTGGAGGTAAGTGCTTGGATGGCGGGCCTGCTGTGGTGGAGTGGGGCTGGGCCCCAGGGAGGCGGGAGCCTTCATCCTGCCGGGGCACTGCTGCCGGAGGTGGCAAGGCTGGCGGGCAGGGGCTGCCTGCACCCCAAGCTGCGGTTTGTCCCTGCAGGAGGTGGGGCGGCTAGCAGCGGGGACGCTGGGCTCTCTGGAGGAGCAGATGGCTGGGCTCCGGCAGCAGGAGCAGAACATCATCAACTACAAGAGCAACATTGACCGGCTGGAGGGTGACCACCAGCTGCTGCAGGAGAGCCTGGTGTTTGACAACAAACACACGGTCTACAGCATGGAGGTGGGCGCACACCCCTCGAGAGGGAGGAGGGCAGAGGTGGTGCTGGCCGGGGAAGCCTGGGGCTGCCTCATCTGGAAAGAGCTTGTCTGCCTCGGGAGGGTCCCCAGTTCAGCTGGGCCAGGGACAAGGAACAGCAGAGCGTCTGAAGCCAGAACAGGATTGGCTCACGCCGCGGACCCTCCAGAGTGCAGATGGGGACGGAGGCCCAGAGAGGGGGAGGACTTGCCCAGGGTCACACAGCGGGTTGGGGAGTCAGGCTGGAGCTGGTGGCTGGCACCGGCTGCCCACTCACTGGCTGCTTTCTCCCCCCACCCCAGCACATCCGTGTAGGCTGGGAGCAACTGCTCACCTCCATTGCCCGCACCATCAATGAGGTGGAGAACCAGGTTCTGACCCGAGATGCCAAGGGCCTGAGCCAGGAGCAGCTCAATGAGTTCCGAGCATCCTTCAACCACTTTGACCGGGTCAGCGGGGGCCCAGTGCGGTGCCACACTTGGGGTCGGGCTATGGGGCTTGGGGACTGGGCTGATACCCACTCCCCACCTGCAGAAGCGGAATGGGATGATGGAGCCTGACGACTTCCGAGCCTGCCTCATCTCCATGGGCTACGACTTGGTGAGTGCCCCCAACCCCTCCCAGGGACCCCACGCGGGTCCCTCTCCTGCTTATCACCTACTGTGTGCCTCCCATCGTCACACCCATGATCTCATTTTATCCTCATCCCACCCAGGGGGGTGAGAATTACCCCATTCTACACAGGGGCTATCAAAGGCTCAGACAGGTCAATTAACCTGCTCAAAGATACACAGCTGGGATCTTTATGGTCCCAAGCCAGGAACTTGGACCATTTTACTGCAGGGAGACGTCTGTGTAGCCCCAGAAAAGAAGGCCCAGGACCAACGCGCAGCAGGGGCCATTGTCTGGGGCAGGGAGCCCGTTTCAGACCCCAGGCCGGTAGAAGACTTCCCAAAGCCAGAGCTCTCCGAGGCAGCAGGGGGTCGGCTTCAGAGGAGGGGATCGTGTGGGCTGGGGTCCTGCAAGGCAAGGCTGACCGCCCCCAGGAGGGGGCAGCAGGAGCCCTCCTGGCTTTAGCACCCATGGGCGCCATGCCTGGCCTCTGTCCCTACAGGGGGAAGTGGAGTTTGCCCGCATCATGACCATGGTGGACCCCAACGCAGCCGGGGTCGTGACCTTCCAAGCCTTCATCGACTTCATGACCCGAGAGACTGCAGAGACCGACACAGTTGAGCAGGTGGTGGCGTCCTTCAAGATCCTGGCTGGAGACAAGGTGAGCCCTGGGCAGGGAGGGGCTGGTGGGAGTGGGCGGCCGGGGACAGGAGGCAGGTGGCCCACCTGAGTGCTCTCCTCTTGCCAGAACTACATCACCCCGGAGGAGCTGCGGCGGGAGCTCCCGGCTGAGCAGGCCGAATACTGCATCCGCCGCATGGTGTCCTATAAGGGCCCCGGGGCCCCGGCAGGAGCCCTGGACTACGTGGCCTTCTCCAGTGCCCTCTATGGGGAGAGCGACCTCTGACCTGCACCCTGAGCTTCTTGAAGCAAGGTGGAGTGGGGGTGCTTCCCATGGTGGGCTCCTCTCTTCCCTCAGAGCAGGGGTCTCAGAGAACGTGTTTCTGAATAAAGATTCGCCCCTTGGGTTGCTCACTATCTCCTCCTGCTCCCAGCTGCCCCACTCTGATCCCCACAGGTCCCCACTGTCCCCCTCGTGCCCTCAGAGACTAAGCATCCACACCACATGGGGGGACCAGGCCACCTCTTTATTGCCATTAGAAAAGTTTCTCTAGACAGGGAAGGGAATGCTGTCTCCCAATCAAGGGGGACCGTAAAATTTCTAGCTTTACACAGAGGAGAGCCAGGGCAGGAAGCTGAGCTGTTGGGGACAGAGCTGGTCTGAGGTCAGAGTCCTTTTTCCTCACCTGCTCCTTACCCAAGTCCAGGATTCTCACCCCAACATCCTCCTCGCTACCACAATTCAGCAAAGGTGCAGTTGGGGGACTCTGAGTAGGGCGAGTGGAGGGAAGAAGGGGCTGTGCCCCAGTGTCCTCTGCTGACCCCAAGGTACCCGGTGTCCGTCCCTTGGCCGGCTGTGCCTCCTGGGGAGGGGCCTGGCCACACAGGCCAGGCTGAGGAAGGGGCTGCTCTGGTCAGCACCATGTCCTGAGCCAGTGGCGCCTCAGTCCACCACTGCCGAGCTGGCCATGGTGTTCACACCACAGGCCCCGGACCCGCGGTACAAGTAGTAGTAACCCTAGGGGAGAAGAGGGCTTGGTGAGGGTATGAGGGCAGGTTGGGGGCCGCGGGGCCAGGGGCTGAGCGGGCGAGACTCACCTCCTCACCCCAGTCAGTGCCCCAGCTGTTCTTGATGGCCCAGAAGGGGGTGTCAGAGCCTGGAGAACCGTGAGCACAGAATCAGGGGCCTCTAACTCTCCAGACAGGCCCCAAGCACTTTGCACCCTTCAACTACGTACTGGGGGCCTACTGTGTGCCAGGCCCCAGGGAAAGAGCAGAAACAAAGCAGACCCCCTACCACCTCCCACAAACCTGGTGCAGGCAGCTGTTGGTCTGGAAAAGCCCAACCTCCCCAGCTTCAGCTTTTCTGCCCAGAGGGGATGGATGGTTCCGGCCCCAGCCCAAAGCCAGGGTAAGGACAGGGTTTCAGACATCCCCCGACTGCCCCTCCAGACGCCTTGAGGTCCAAGCCCAGCCTGTGGCCTGGGCTGGCTGGCCAGAGCTGGTCAGTGGAACTCACGGTTGCCGTAGCCCACAAGTAGCACAGCATGGTCGATGAGCCAGGGGCTGCAGAGGGGCCGGAGGGGGTGGGCAACCCCATGGCGGTAGAACTGGGGGGGAGAATAAGGAGTAGGGGACCAGCCCCAGTGAGAAGAGTGAGCCATCAGCAAGGGAGGGAATGGAGACGGAGGGACGGGGCCTCACCTGCATCCCAAAAGCATTGATGGCAACGGAGATCGGGCCATTCTTGGCCAGCCAGGCAGCCAGCTCTGGGACCAGAGGAGCAGAGTCAGTGGGCACTGGGCCCCAGCCCCCCAGCCCGTGCTCCCCCTGCCCCCACTCACTGCCTTCGTTCTGGCTCAGCTCCACCGAGTCGTTGATGTAGACCTTGGCCTTGTCTGCAGAGAAGCTGCAGGCCTGCATGTGGCCCTGGTAGCTGTAGTCTTCCTCGGTCTCCAGCCCTCCTGGGGAGTGATGGAGGT